TCTGTCCACTCCCTGGTGTATAGCAATTAGATGGCCATACCCATGTCATGGCAGGCTCCTTTTCCTTTATGGCCATCAGATGGAGAAAAAGCATTTTCAAGTTTTCCAGTAGAGTTTCTTCCTCTACTATGCAAATTATCTGTGCAAGGTCACATAAATTACCTTCAAGACATAACCAGTTTCTCTCCATGTACAAAAATGTAAAGAAGCTGAGAGTAATGAGCTGATATTTATGTGTCCATCTTTCAATTTTTTTAAAAAATTACTGTTGTGAATGAAGCACATCCCTAAGCGTTTGATTAGCTTTGCCATCTTCCCAGTCTTGTTTCTACTCTGTCTTTCAGGAAATCAAAGCATTTCAGAAATGAACTCTTTTGTTTTTAGGGTCATAAAGTATATTTATTAAAAAGACTCCAAAGATGTGAAAGAATAAGTGTAATTCTACTACGAAGTAGAGCAGTAACAAAAATACTGTCATATTTTTGCCAAATTTCAGCTTGTACACTGTCATACTGTTCAGCTGTTTGCTAAATGTAAGGTCAACATCGTTAAGCAAATCTGGGTTGAGTATCTTTGCTTAATATGTTGTACTCAGGAGATATATTGCATTCAATAAGAAAGATAATTTATTTTAAAAAATGAAATAGTGGGTTGAATGTGCCAATTAATCACTTTTCACATAATATCTATCCTTCTGAAATATAAATACTTCCTAATGTTAGCACCCTGTAACAGCAGAGCTGATGAATTAAATGTGCATGATTACCTCAGTACATGTACATTTTAAGAATTTTGTAAAATTAGCAGGTATGTGAAAAAAGTGATGAATAAAGAATGAAACCACTTCCTTGATTTTCCGTGGTTTAAATCCCAAACACCATTTTTATTTTTTTTTTCTAGAGGGGCTCTTCCCTTCTTTTCTGAACATTCAGTTGAAACATTTGCAGTGTGCCAGTATTAAAAAAAAATAAAAATAATAATAAAAAAAGGGAACATTTACACAATAAGCCAGTTACCCATCCTGTAATTTTCCACATCCCCATTGTAATTATTCAAAATCCTTCTGCTTGAAGATGAGTTTTTCTCCCTCCCAACCCAAATTCTATTTTCGGAGTAGACTTGTAATTGTGTGTTTGTTAATATAGCTGTCTGTTGCCATGAACAAAGTGAGGTCACCAATTTTCTATTACAGCTTTGCCACAGAGTTAAGGACTGTAAAACAGCTAGTGTTGACATGAATGCACCCTTTTTTTGTTTTATATTGTTTTATTTTGTTCTTCTATCAATCCAAATGATATCTAGGGTAAATAACTGACATGAACTAACTCATATTTTGATAGTCTGGAGTTACTCCTAGTGTTACAGTTTGTATGTGACTTTTGTATTTAACCTTCAATGCTCAGATATTCTCTATTTAAGACCTGGCAAGAATTTTCCTGGAAGTAAACTGAGAATGTGTATGAAACATTTTTAAATTGACTTATTTATCTAACTCAGTGTTATTTGCTAAGAAAAAGTTCATCTGATTACAGATTATATTATATTGTTGCATCCAGTGCTCAAAATATTTATATTTTGGATTTGTATTTATACACTTTTAAAATTTTAGCGGAGTCCATAGAGATCACTGTATTTTATCAATTTTATCAATTTATTTTATCAATACACCATCAGTGCTAAGGTTTATATTGCCATTACAGTTTCTTCTAACTAGTATTTTTGTCCATCTGTCTTAAACTCTTAGAATATATATTTTTTTTAGAATTTGTATATCCCAGAATGGATGAATGAATTGACAACATGAGGCAGTTTCTTAATAAGAACTGGCTACCTTGAAGTCAGCAAGTTGTGTCAGTGTGGCTGTGACAATTCAGAGCAGTCAAAGGTTTAGCTCAGGACATTTATACATCTTCAGTACTTAATAAATGTATTATTTATAGCTTGAAACTGTCCATTTCACAAAGGATGAAGATTAACAGAATCACCAACAAGAGTGTGGAGATAAAGTGAGATTTATAATATGTAATGATATTTTTTGGAAAGGCTATTTCAGGCAT